CAGATGTAAGACGAACATCTGTTTGTACGAACGTCTGTTTGTTGTGGGCGGGAATTTCAAATGATTTATTGTAGGAGTTTGACAGTAATTTAAACAAGCTTTATCTTTCAGGATATATTTTATGACTTCATTATTTAAAGCAATTAAACATGCATATTTCATTTTCAGTCAGTCATATAGAGTGTAACGCAATGGAACCTCATTGTATTTTTTTCGTGTTTTCTCAATGGCATTTCACTCATGTTGGCCTTACGTGGGTGAGCCTGTTCATATTTACTGCACTATAATGATATCCGTCAACTTGTCATTTGGCAAGCAGTACGTATATTGCAGTTTTCAACATGAACTTCCTTTTGAAAGCTGAGGTTAGAAGCAGTTGCAAGTTAGTCAGTGCGTCAGTTACATCTTGAAAGTATACTTTAAGTGAAATGCCATTGACAAAACACGAAAAAAATACAATGAGGTTTCATTGCGTTACACTCTATATGACTGAAATTGAAATATGCATGTTTAATTGCTTTAAATAATGAGGTCAAAAAATATATCCTGAAAGATAAAGCTCGTTTAAACTACTGTCAAACTCCTACAATAAATCATTTGCAATTCCCGCCCACAACAAACAGACGTTCGTACAAACAGACGTTCGTCTTACATCTGCGTCCGCCGTCCGCGTCCGTCGTCCGCGCCCGCTTTTTATCTACACCCTTTCCAATGATACGCCAGAGAAAATAGTAGCTACATCAAAAATATTTGAAGCAACCATCATTAAGTATTTTTTTCTAAATAGAGATAACAAAAAAATGTTTTTTAACTATCATAGACATTTAAGAATAATACAAATTTGCAAACTGTTTTACGTTTTTACATGAGAATGATAGTAAACTAAAACTTGAATGCAAGTGTGATAAAGAATATTTGATTGGACATTAAAACTAAGCTTTAGGATTGAGGGAAATGATAAAGAAAGAGAGGTACATAATTCAACAAATTGAAATGGGGCAAATCATCATCAAACATCAATACAGAAGTCATTTTAAAAAGCAAGGAATGCATGCAAAATAAATGATACATTTTTCGTCTCTTGTTTCTTCTGTTACAATTATTCAATATTGCAAGAATATTTTTGACAGATAGTAAATGCCTTTTAATTGTCTGAAACAAAATATTTGAAGAATTAAAACTTTTTTAGCTTTTTAGATTTTCTTTACTTTAGCAGTTCTGTCAAAATACTCATAAATTTCATTCAATTCAGAATTTATATAGTTATGAGAGTCGAACTTCTCTATACGACTGACATATGTTGTAAAGCAGAATATCATGTGTTGTTTAACGGCCTCCATTTTTGTAACTAGACGACATGTAGTTATAGAGAGGCCAGCGAGTCTGTTAAACATTGCGCAACAGATTATTTGGCATTTAATTTTGCTGGCTTAGTTAAGCAATACGTCTTTCCCATTCATCTGGTAAACTGAGTTAACATGAGCAAATTTGAAATCAACCCATTTTAAATTTTTTTTAAACCGCTCTTGGTGAATTTCATATATTGCGTCATTTCCTTATAGTGGACATTGAAATGTTTTATTTCTTTCTATGCTTTCGTTTCCTAGAAACCTTACATCTATTTATTCACAACACGTTCTAGGCGGATGAACTCTACTTATATGAATTGTTGTAAACATGAGTCTTTGTAATGAACAATTTGTCTAATCTATTGCAACAATATCCAATCATCATAAATTATCTGAAAGCAAACGTGAACATACTTTTTGGAGAAGGAAGTTAAAATGTTACATAATTATAGAAATCAATACTTGATTTATATACCAAAAAAAGTTTAAGAACAAATGATTATATGATTATATTGATGATAAGCCTTTCATAAATAAAGTAAATGTTTTACTACAAAAGCTTTAAAGAAATTAGTAACCGTCCACCTTCTAATAAATAGAAAATAAAGATGATATCAAGCTCAACAAAAGCGTTTCTTGGGACTCTCATAATCCTGTCTATTAGTGGCCAAATAGTAAATGGTAATGACGACATATCAATCTGCAAGAAAAGCTTAGAGACATTAAAAGACAACGTGAAAGAATGGATGGAAACTTGCGTTGATAAAAATGACAATGACGATAACACAACTGCATGCAAGGAAGTAAAACAATACAACAAAGAAATGATGCAAATGCAAACAGAAATGTGTTTTTACAAAGGTATAATCTTTAGATTTGACAAACTTTCATAGTTTCTTGTTCATAGCACCAAAAACAATATTCAACAAAAATAGGTAGAAGTTGTGCAGCCAATCTAATTTCAGTTATTAGTAATATTTCTACAGTGAAAAATTCTTTCTAAAAATACTTATTCTGGTCTTTCACCAAATATTATGATCGTAAAGTCTATAAAAATTTGCATTTTTATAATCCACTCTCATCGTTGTTATTTATAATTTTTTTATTATTTATTTAGATGTTTATCCAAAGCCATATTTGATTATTATGAGCTTTGATAAAATATACTCTGTTGATTTTATTACTGGAGATATTCATGTCAGCACTATTAATGGCTCCAGTAAGAATAAATCTGACCATGCATCAAGATATAATGACATAGAAATTGATGTAGTTGAGAATGTGCTTTACTACATTGATGACAAAGACATCAAACGGGGAAATCTTGACTTGACTAGAAACGAAATTTTTGCGAAAAATGTTTTGTTCATGATATTACAGTTGACTGGATTGGTCGTCGTATCTTTTACATTGACTCCACGAACATTATCTACCAAATTTATTTGAAAAATAAAACTACAAGTGTTATGAGGCTTCAACCAGGCTTACAATTTTCCAGCATTGCATTTGACTCAAATCATGGGTAAGGCGATATTGAAATTCTATTTATTTACTTGTAAGTGTAAAGTTAATAAACTATGTCAATCTATTGGAGGGTTTTCTTAAGTAAGGTAAGAGTTTTTATTTTTAGAGACGGTGTTTTAATTTAATAGAAAAGTAGAATTTTATATGTCCGTATTATGGTTTGTTATTTAAAGGTTTAATAATAGAAAAAAATATCGATTTTCCGGGGAAATCAAAACTCGCTTTTTCCCGAGGGAGCGAATATTAAGTATTTTGTTGGCTATAAAGAAACAAACGTCATATAGTTCGACAGATTTTTATTAAAATCAACGTCTTTCGGAGAGATTTGGCCAGCAAAATTTTATTGCGTGACTATAAGGCATTTCAAACCAACTGCAATAATGAACACGTTTCGTGTGATTATTCAGCACACATGCAGTAGAAAATAACATGCAGATCCTGAAATTTCAAAAATCGACAGCGATATTTATGTTGAGCAACCAAAGAGCTTTGAGAAAAAAGGTAACAATGGAGGGATCAATGTTTATATATGATGAAGTCATTAAATCACATAAAACAGAGCGGTAGAAACTGAAATGAAATATTAAATAATTATTTGCACATAAAACTTTAGTCAAACACTTACAGAAGCTTGGCTTTCCACAACCTACAAAAAAGTAGTGTAACTTCACTGTGCAACTTACTGTTGTACATTTAATTCCGTTACTGGCTTCGGCTAGCCACCTAAGAGCGCTTTTCTTTGTCAGAAAAAGCAATTTGCTTGACGCCTCGATAGTAATCATATGCTTAATAAGATATGCCCTGCACAAAAGATTTCAACAAATTGGGAGCATTGTTTGTTGCTATACTGTGCTCTTTTGTATACTTTTTTGAGGCAGTGTAAGAGATGTGCAACAATCTCAATACGGAATGGCAATAAAGTTTTAAAATATTCACGAATGTGGTGAACGTAAAAAACTTCAACTTTTCGTTTTGTAATGAAGATAAAAAGAACTACACACATTGCAACGTAGTTACATGAAAAATATAAAAATGGATTTTATTTTTCAAAAATGTGGCAATTTGAAAAAACATAATCACTATATCAAGTTTATCGTTTTTCACGCCTTCTTTTAACTTGCATTGAATGGCAGAGTATATTGAAAAGTCGAGAGCTGCAAATTAAGTGGCTGTACACTTCCTTTTAATATATCCAATCACACATTCAATCAAATCACCTGAATGGAAAATCATTCCACGACCTTTAGTTCATGCAGTGTTTCTTAGTGTTGCTTAAGCAAACGTTAGGTCTGTATCTGCTCCACTGATGATGAAGCTGAAGATAATAATCATGTGATAAAAAAAAATATTGGCTTAAAAACCTTGTGGAGCGAGAACTTTCTGAATATGTTATAAATAATTTACGACTTTAAAATAATTTCCTCTTCTAACGATTCCTATGAACTCTTCATTCATGAGAGCCTTCTAATCAATAAATACAAGCCTTCATTCTTCGCCTCTCTTAACTTCACTAAATTTTACTTCCCAACTTCTTTATCATGCAATCCATTTGACACCGCCTCCTTTAGTCGTAATTTAACACCTTTTGTAAATACAATATCTTGTCTTAAAATCTCATTATAAATTATTACTTGCCTTAGTATGTCTTGAGTAAGGACGAAATGTCAGTATAAATTCAATTTTACAGCTTTTTGTCTATTTCTATGCCTCTAATTAAAACATTATGTTAGGCATTAATTATTATCATTTTACAAATAAAAAATTAAGATTCACGAACACAAAAAGCCAAAAGAAAAGTAATACATACGAGAAAGTTTTAAAGAGTTCGAGGCAAGGTGCAATGAACGACAAGAAGGCATGGACTTTGCTGTTACTCAAATGCGTAATATATTTAAGAAATGTATTGGAGAATGCAAATATGCTGCGATGATAATCAAAACTGTCAGTTGCCTCCAACTTTTTCAATAAAGTAAAGGCCATAGTGTTCAAGCAGTTTTTGCAGCTTGTCCAAGCCAAAGATTCTTAAAAACACGAACATTACATGGCGATGGAATCATCATTTTTAAATTATACCAATAGCGCTAGCTCCAGTGTCAATCTTTTTCTGATTTTTTAGAAAAACAATGAAACAATTTGACAATTAAAAAGAGAAGGTTAAGATAGTTTTAAAAAATCGTTTGTCCAAACAAACAGAAAAAAAGTATCAACAAAAGACAATGTTTTTGAAGCTATAGCTTTTTTAAAGACATCTGTGGATGATGATCCATCCAAGGAGCTGCTACTTTTCATGCAAGATGAAACTGAAAAATTAAGAAAGCTTAAAATTGAAATGACAAAGCTTTCTTAATTTTATATCTACATTAAATGGTGCTTATCATTTACCAACACCAAATTTTCAATTCGATCACAATTTCCACGCATCATCTAAATTTCAGCTTTATCAATTACCAACACAATTCATTCAACAGCAACTCCAAACTACAGCATTACTCATTCCGACAATAATCTCAAACAATAGCAATCATTATAGAAGTTATGTGAATAAAAATAACGTATTACATTTATTATTATGTTCTGAACCACATGCAATGCTTAATTACTTCATATATTTTAGTTCAGTTTTTAAAAGAGAGATTTCAAATGATAAAGATGATCGTTTCCTGTTAGTTACAATAGCTTTATGTTGCTATATTATCAAATTTTATGAATATGTTCCATTAAACCGTCTATATAAGAAGGTAGTTCGAAATACTTTCACAACATCTTTGTCTAAACTAAAAAATATTCTATCTTTCCTTTCTTGCATATCTTAGCCTGCCAATTGTTTTTATATTTCAGTGCGTATAGAGAAAACTAATGTACAAAACAAATATTTTTATTAAGGTATCTCTTCTTGGCAGAAAGTACAGAACCTTTTTTATGGTTATGGAGGGTGAGTGCAAATAAACATCATATTCTTTCAGTTTCACTTCAGTCAAAAACACATGATCTAACGCTTGACATGGCTAAAGAGAAGATTTATTGGAGAGTTTCAAACGGAAATATTTTTTCTCATGTTTACTACTCCCAAAATGTAACTGATTTTGGAACTTCAGGCGGTCCCATGGCAGTATTTGGGGATTTTATTTATATCATGAATAGTGTTGGACGAAGTGTCGTTAGTGTCCATAACACAACAGATCAACGTACGAGACGTAAATATTTTCTTCCTGTAAACAACAATTATCTTGATTTGGCCGTAGCTATACACAGTATCTCTCCTGACAAAAACGGTAGGTAAATATTTACTTATTTGACATAATAATCTAAGACTTGAAAAAACTCCCACGCTAATGTTCATAAAATAGAAAGACGTTAAAAAGCTCAAAGTTACACTGCCTTAGTAAACGGTTGTTCTTCCTTCCAAAATTATAGAAAATTTGATGATCATTAAGTTCAAAGTGCAAAGTGTCTAATTTGGACATTTTTGCCGTTTGTCTATTCTTATCAAACTTCTTGGGTGTTAAATTTAAGTCTTTATTGTTTCTTACATCATTTAAATAATCACTTGGGCTTGAAATCAGTTTTAAATAAAAAACAATCATGAAAATAGACTGAAAGACAAAAACGTCTAAATTGAGCATGTTGTGCAGTGAACTTAATGTTTATCAAATTTCTTAAAATTTCAGTATTTTGCAAAACGGAGTTTAAACTTTTACATCTTTGGATTAAACTAAATTTGAATTTTTTCATTTTCTCTGTGCATGCTGTTCAAATTGAGGCGATTACGAACTACTCACATGGTTTTCGAGATTAATTTTTGATTCATTTTACTTTAAATAAACAAGGCAAAGCTATGCCAAAATATATGAGCTTTGACACATTTTGTGAGAACTACTGATGAATTGATAATTTTCTGAACATTTTTCAATTATCTAACTTCTTTAGTATATCCTTTATAGTGTCCCAAACAGCCAGCAAATTTGTTCATACTCTGTAAGATTTCAACATTTATTTAATTGTTTTGCTTTTACTAAATGCGCGAACACCAAAAATACCAACATTGCATAACAAACTTGCTTGCTGGGTACGTCAACGGGGATACTGAGTGACAAATTGTGTTCTTTGAGGAAGAATATGTTTCGTTTAAAATCCCTGGTTGATTTTATTTTTAATTTTATTGATCGATATAGCGACAAGCACTTTTCACTTTCCTTTGTGTGGACCCAACACATACTATCGTAAAATTAATTGAACATTGAGCTGCACGTGTATGGAAGGATACTTTGGAGAATGTAACTCGTGCAGGAGAGGTATGGATTGATTACTGTCTTTATCAAGATTTTTTATCACCGATCATGAATAAAGAGCATCTCTGTGCAGTTTTAAAACTTTGTTCTTTGTTGAGAATCTTGTGCTGTTCTCTGTGCTGTTGCTTCTTTGCAAGGAATTTGCTGCATCTACATTTTATATGTAACCACAAAAATAAGACTCACAGCCACACATACAAGTTCATTATTACCAATACAATCAAGCAGGAAATCAGTAATAACTTTATGAAAAGCTTCAATACACTTAAAACTTCCTCAGCACACAACATTGAAAGTGTATTGTTCTCTAAATGACAATAGCATATGTTAACATTAACACATTTTGATTTTCTCTACAATAAGGAGGGGGTAGGGTTAGGGTAAGGGTAAGGGTTAAGGTTAAGTTTAACACTCGTCCTGAAGTTAGTAATCTAGCCATGGCCCTGCTAACCTAGATACACCATATTAGACACTCTTGAGTTTATTATTGGTTGGCTTTCCTAAACTAAGAATTCTGTAAATACAAACTTTAAAAAGCATTTTGACAGACATGCTTCCAGTTCCAGACCTCCTAGAATGAGTGCACCTCAATAATATTACATCAAATGTTTTCAACCAATGGATTGTAGCTTTATGAACTTATTCCAAGAACAGACAAATATGGCCGTTGTCCGATTACTCAGTAGGCTATGTAGGCTGAAGCTTACATTCCCGCGTTCTTAAAAGTCCTGTTCTCTTTAAATATACTTTTTACTCTTTGCCATTCTAGATGAGATAAATGATCAAAATTTCAATAATATATCCTGTTGGAAACTGTATGATATACTATTATAATGCTCTATGTATAGAGCTCATAAAGTAGTGAGTTTATCTCGTTCGAAATTTAAATTTATTCTATAATGTTTACACTATGAGTAGCAGAACTGAAGCAAAGGCAATGGAGCATAAGAAACGGAAACGTCGTCAAAAGACTGAAATTTTTGGGAGAAAGTTATATCACTTAAAGTCCCACAAATTTTTCTAAGCTTACAGGCTGCGCAGTTAGTCATCCGCCGCTTAGTATGGATGGTATGCACTGATAATGTTCATTCATAAATATCTTGTTAACTTTCGATGTAAGAAAATTAGGTTTTACTATTAAGAATTCACTTCCTTTAAAACCTAAATAAGCAATATTTTAAGAGGTACAATAAATAAGGTCAAAAATGTATGTAAATAATGGTAATAACGTTTTTCAGTAGATGGCATTAAATTTCTACTGGGTTTAATAAAATTTCAAATGACTTTCTTACTATTCAATTTAACGCTATTAGAGTTAGACTGGAATTTTCTATTCAGACATAAAAAAATTTCATGTAAGCACACATTACAATGAAATTGACTTTATATTCTGAAATTGAGTGTATTGCAAAACAGCATCCCCACTTCAAATGTAATTCACAGTAGTCAATAATATCCATATCTTATATGCAATGCTTGTGTTCTGTAGGTTTCCAGCCTGTGAAACATGAAACAAGCAATTTTTAACAAATAATAATAATACCTAGTAATGATTTCATTCGCTTAAAAACACTTTTTCACAAAATTCAGTCGTTTATCCTATCATAACAGAACCTTGAGAAACTGAATTTTTAACATTTTCAATTAAAATAGCCAAAGATTGCACTGAGGTACAAAATAATGGCAAGAACGAAAGTGGAGTTTATCAAATTGATCCTGATGGTAAAGGATACTTTGAGGTCTTCTGTGACATGACGTCATCGGGTGGTGGTTGGACTGTAATTCAAAGAAATATAAAAAGTGGAAATACAGACTTTTATCTGGGTTGGGCGGAGTATAAACGTGGCTTTGGTAATCTTAAATCCGAGTTCTGGCTTGGATTGGACAAGATACATCGACTAACATCGGCAAAAAATAATAAACTTCGAATTGACCTTAAACACAAGAATGGACTTAAAAAATACGCTGAATATGAAGATTTTGTTGTAAAGGATGAAAATTCTAAGTATCAATTAAGTATCGGAAAATACACAGGTAAGAAAATATTGAAGAAAATGAGTGCTTGTGATAGCAAATTGCGTTGACAGATTGTACCTTAGGACCAGTTCATATGAGACGGGCCAGTCCGCTTATGCCAGGCTAGGTAGCTTTGCCGAGATCTCGCCTCGTATATTAGTTTACAATTTTTTTGAAATTGCGCTCATATGAAGAGCGGGTTAGACCGGCTTGGAGAGATCCGCTTGAAGGAAGCGAGATCTCGCTTCTAACGGGCTCATATAACTGCATCAATCGGACCAGCCCGGCTGAACTGGGCTGAAGCGATGAGACTGCGCATGCTCTTGTCTTATTTGGTTACTTAAAGATGGCAAAAACTTCATAACAACAACGTGCAATTTAAAATAAGTTTGAAAATTTTATGTTATACCATTACAATAGTCGGTGGAACTCACTGGTAGCAACCAGATTGTTGAATGTCTGAGTCTAAATACAATTTAATTTTCCTAAAAAAATACAATATTTGTTGGCAGAAATTAAATACAACATTTCAGCCTGGCCAGCCCGCCTCGTGAATGCGAATACAAATTGGCCCGGCAAACTAGCTAGCACGGCTTAAGCGGGCTGGCAAATCTCATATGAACAATTTCTAAGGTCAAAGAAATGTATCGTCTGAAATGTCAACCGCAAGAAAGACAATATAACATGCATTGGACTTTACGTTATGCAATATACATTACATTAGCAAGATCATTTTGAAAAGCAGGATATTCAGTAACTTTAAAGACAAATTTTATGCCTCAGAAAGATAATAATTATCTGAAGATTATCTATAAGCACAGCTCGTATTTCTTTAGCCCGTCTAAAAAGTTACATTTTACATGTGTCAAACGCATTTAAAACAAAAGAAAATGCGATAAAATTAATCATCTACGTTTGTTTTGAATGCATTCGGCTCATGTAAATGCGACATCTGAAACAGGCCTGAGCACTTTTGCTGGTCTTTGCTCTTGTTTCACCTATGTGTAATCCGGAAAAAGTATAACGCAAAAAAGAGCGGTTTATTTGTAATTTTTAATGATATGAAAAGATGTTTTCTTTCAAAGCATGCAAAAATGTAAGCCTGCAGCAAGAATTTTATAAAATAACAAATGTATAATTCGTCCTCTGATTGGCCGATGCGTTTGCTTGAATCAGGCAATATAAAGACTGAAATTTAAATTGCTGTGAGTTAATTTTAAACATGTCTGAGAATGAAGATGATTTATTATTATTCATATGACAACTTCTTTTGAAGTGTTGGATCGCCATATCTAAAGACTTAGGAAAGTTCTCTGTTAAAAAAGCGGTGTAAATACTCACAATTCTTTTCTTAACTCTCTTTTTATTCCTGTGTGTTTAAATCAAGCCAACAACGAAAAAAACTGTTTAGCAAATACTTTTAATATAATATATATGCATCATTAAATGCATCAAATGTTGAATATAAAGTTTATTGTGAATAATGACAGAATGATAGGAACAGTTTCTTTTACGTTTTCAAAATACAAATCAGCAGAAAACTATAGAGCTATTTCTACTTTTCAGGAACTGCTAGGGATTCATTATCCTATCACAATAACATGAAGTTTTCAACCAAAGATTCAGATAATGATAAAGATAGTAGTGGAAGTTGCGTTTATAGTGGCTTGGGTGGTTGGTGGTATAATCATTGTGGTCATTCTCTTCTAAATTATGAAAATCCTGCCTGGGGTTTTCATGAAAACTGGAAAACCAGTGAAATGAAAATTAAACCATGAAGACTTTTCATAAATATTTATAGTTTCATGACAATGATCAATATATCTATCAATACGTCATGTAAAAATATGTTTGTTTATGAGCAAATATGCAAAAAATTGTGTTAATTTCATGAAGTAATAAAAAATATTGTTGCAATCAATGAAATGGGAGAAATGTGAGTTTTAACATGTTTATCTAAATGAAGCTGATGTCGTCAAATCATACTCAAAATAATTACAGTTTTTTGAGTTTTACCATGTTGTTAGCTGCCTTCTTTAAAGAGATATTTTATAATTATTATACTTTATTCTTTATGGCATGATATGGTTTCATTAGTCAGATTGTTTCCTGAGAAGAACTGTTTTGTTGTTGTTTACTGACGTTTCGACAACCTAAGTCTATTTGACTCTGAAGATGACTACCGCTAAGGTTGTCGAAACGTCGGTCAACAACAGCAAAACAGTCCTTCTCAGGACTATACCAACCTGGATCTACATTTAAAAACATGTAACGATACTCCTGGGTGCAAGCCATTTACTTTATGATATGGTTTCTCACATTTAATAAGACTTGCACGTTTATATAGCACGAGCTGCTTTTTCCAAATAAACAAATTGTAAAAACAAAGGTTTGATATCTGCTTCCACTTAAATTAAAAATTTGCAAAGAGGATCGTCATGAAATGAATTGTATTTGCTTTATTGGCTTCTTTGTAACGTTAGATGCAAGTCATAATAAATAATAATCGTATATCTTGCACAATAAACTTTATTCTTTATTTAGCATCCTTCCTTAGTTAAGCTCCTTTTCTTTACAAAACCTCTTTCCTTATTCAACCTCCTTCTCTTTACAAAATCTCCTGCCTTACTTAACTTTTTTGCTAAACTTTCTACTCCAGTAAACTTTATACTTTACCCTCCTTCTTTACTAAATATAAATTTTACTAAATTTCCGAGTTGTTGCTCTGTTTGACCTTCAAATCTGACCATGTAGTTATTACCATGTAGTTTCCCTCTTGATTGAAAGCTGTTCTAATTATCTAATTTTCAGGAAATAACGGCTTACCTATCTATCTTTAAGCCCACATAGCCAAGTAGAAAACTAGATTTTTCTGCAAGTACACCAAAGAAGCTGATAAATAAAACGTTAGACTCTGTAGCATTATTATCAATGCTGATTTTTAAAGGCAAATAGTAAGTAAAATTTGCAATGATAATATATGTAACGCATTTAAATGCCTGTAAAGAAAAATCCATTTATTTGTTTTCGTCCTTAGATTTAATCAAAAAAGTAAACCGGACGATACAAAATTTAATGACTGTAATCTTTTGGAAAATCTTTTCAGGCAATATCGTCAATTGAAACAGAAACACATTGCTACCTAAATAGATTTTCGTGATTTAAAATTGCACATGCTGTTTTACCAGATATTAGTAGATCTAAAAAGCTTTGTTTTGCCTCACATCACAATCCACACTAATTTCTTCAATGATTTTTAATTTTTTTCATTTTAAGGCCTTCCGTTCGTGCCAGTTGTCAAAGAGATATAGAACGCCTTGAATTGTCACTAATATGTACACCTTAATTTAGAAAGGATAATGATGTTGGACAAAATGAAGCAGTCATATCAAAATAAATAGTGAAATTCATAAAATTATAAATGAAAAAATGTTTACATGGCAAGAGGAAAAAGGTTGGGAAGCTGCCCTAATCTACGCAGTAATGAAGTAAATCCAATTCAAACAATGATTTTAGAATTTTTAAAGTTTTTCATTGTTAAGCATTATATAATGCTGTCTTACATTGACCTCAAATTCACATTTTTAGTAAGACTCTTTTTCCCCATCACAAAGCCCTTAATTTTAAACTCATAATGTTTACAGAGTAATCAGTCAAAAGCACAAGTTTTGAATATGAGAACTTTGTTATACTGTCCTAAATGAGGACAGAGAAGGATTTTCTCAGAGTTTTATAGACTAGTCACCACTCTTAGTGGTCTGAATTTAACTGTTGAATTTAGGCACATAGTAGCATATATCCATCAATCACAGTTATAACTGGGTAGCCTTAAAATTAGGAATGTTTAAAAGTGCGGACATATGAAGGTGTGTATGGATGAAGGTGTGTATGTATAAGGGTGGGTATTTATAAAGTTAAGGATGTATCAAGTTGTGAATGAATGAAGGTTTGGATGTGTGATGGTAAGGATGTATGAAGGTAGGGTGGGGATACATAAAAGTGGAGTGGGTATTTATGAAGGTGGTGATGTATGGATGAAGATAGTGATGTACATATGAAGATAGTGATGTACCTATGAAGATAGTGATGTGTTGAATGTAGTACTACTTTTAATAGTTTGATGAACTTTCTAATTAACTTTTTGCATGGTATTGTAGTGTGTGATTCAAAATGAAAATACATGATCATTATTATGTAAGATGCAGTACCATGTACATATAATGCTGATTGCTCTCTTACTCATTTAATCTAATTAAGATGATGATGCACGTGATACCTGCGATAAGAGTAGTGCTAAAGTGAACAAGATTCATGACAATGATGTCGAAAGTGATTCCAATGAAGAGAAAATTGTGAGCCTGATAAACGACAAGAAAATGTCTGGTGGGAGTCATATGTTTTCCGGTAGGCTTTATTTTTGTATTTATAAAAATTGTCATTAATTTCAAGTGTCCTATTTGCATATAATGAAATAACCAAAATGCAGTTGGCATGATTATACAATCAAAATATCAAAACAGTTTGATACATACGTAATTGCATTTGCTCGCAGCTTGTCTTTCGTGTTATTCTTATTAATTTTTCTTCTGGCGAGTGCTTATAATAACAAATTTTTGATACACAATTATTTTAAAAAGAGTCATCCGACTACAAATGCACCCCTATTGTTAGTACAAACGAGAAAAAGTCATCACCTATAAATTGTTCTAAAGAGAGCGTTAAGCATATGAAAAATGAGGGGACAATCTCAACATTTTCTTCACCTAAACTGTTTATAAACAAAACCAGCGGTTCTTTTTTTCTTGGCGGTGTTAAAATTAAGAATCCAGGTCCGCCATTACTTGTGGGGCTATCAAGAAACCATAAAGTAAAACCACTTCACAATAACGTTACGCTTTCTCAATAACAACTTACTTACACCAAAATATTTTATCTCTGTTTTAATAAAATATGTGAAATGAGTTGTAGGTGATTTGTAAATATTTCAATGTATAATAAACATTGTAATTATACACTAAAAAAAACTCAAAACATGCCGTTATGGTCAATTGCTGGAGAGTGTAAAGTCAATCAATGAAAACCACCAACTAAACAGTATTTGGTAAGCCTTCCTCCAGCCATGCTATCTACCTATGAAGGATTTTAGGCTGTCACGTGATAATTTCCCCAAGCAATGTGGGTACTCTCCCACTGTTCATTCTTGGGATTTTAGTTTTGGACCATAGTTTCCACAGTTCTTACTCTCTACATAGTCACTGACATTTCTTTAGCTGTAACCCACTTCACTAGCTAGTTCGCTTTTGGAGTAGCATTGATCTTTCGACCTTACCAATACCATTCCACGACATTCAACATTGATTCGTGGCTTTGGACGTATAATTCAGTAATTTGTCTAGATTCTTCTTATCCACTAAATAATTTTTCTTTCACTAAGTGCTGTTGGAATGAAGTTCGACTATATATGTCTTAAAGTGAATGGTTTGAACCTGGGAACTCTGAAGATGACTACCGCTAAGGTTGTCGAAACGTCAGTCAACATCAACACGAACAGTCCTTCTTAGGACTTTATTGTCATGGGTGATCTACATCTACAAACATATATATATACGTCAAATGTCATTTGTGACTGTTGTAGGACATCTAACCGTGGTTAAATATGATTAACAACAGAATGTAAATTTGTATTATAGGCTATAACGTCTTCCCAAATAAAATAAGAAAATTGAGCAGTTCTTTTTGACAGTTGAATGGTGAAATTATACGGTCTATTACAAATTGTAAGGGAGAGAAAGTCGTTTGAAACTTAGTTTTTGGCTTGCGCTTGTAGCCAACCATTGTATCATTTGCATATTTAAATTATTGGTTCTCTCTTGCACATTAAGTATATAACTTTCACGCAAATGCCCTCAAGAGCGTTAACTGTACCTCATAAAAATGTTTCTACCTTTTTCAAACTTATTTCTGATTCATTTTTGTATACAATACGTAATACAATTATATGTCTTTCAATACTGGCTCCTTAAACTTATCCATACTAAATTCCATCACTATTGTCTATAAAATGATTTAAAAGTGGCAGGTTTGCATGTCTATCCTACGACTTAAAACTTTTGCCATTAACCTTAAATGATGCCCAAGTATTGACATGCAAAAACTGGTATTTGCGATAGATTTCAATTGCCTCGGTTGCCTGTTTTGACCAAAACTCCCCAGTGATCTCAAATATATATGCATGTTCTACTTTGGTTGCTCCTAACAGTCGATTCATTTAAATTGAATTCATGATCCACGTTTAGATATACTATAAGAATAGAAACCTACATTGTCTTGTAGCTTTAAGCTTTTGTAAGTTACAAGAAAAATATGCATGTGTATATGTTTTCAAAGTTCCTTTGTCGACCCATCCTTGTAAAAATCTCACTTTTGAAATATGTTTTTCCATATCTGTACATTATCCTACATTAGGGCATTGTCAATCGCTTAAAAAATGTTTCGGGATAAAGAAACAACAGTCTAAACCTCAAGGCCAAAATATGTCAAAATGTCATTATACGAAGCTTGCATTCTGTACAGTTCTTGCTGGCTGGGTTAGATTGTCCATCTTCTAAATGTGTTTTTCTCGCGATATGACTCTAGCCAGTCACGTGCTGCTTTCATTGATGAATTCATTGGTCCCTGTCCGCCCACGTATGCGACTTTACCATCTTCGATGGCGTAGAGTCTCTCAGGCAACGCTCCAAAGGCCACATTTGCATTGTCGTCCATTGTATCTACCATTATTTGACATTGAAGATTGAGTTCATGTAGCTTTTGCGCGGCTTTGCATCTTTCATATCGATTTCGATGCTTTCGTACTTTGATAAAGTTATTCTAAAATGAAGTGAAATTAGCTTCCTTCATGACTTTATCAAGAAATCTTAAGACATGTTTTCTCTACACAAAAGATTGTCAAATAATGAAAGGGACGATTCTTTTCAAACAACATCTTTGTTTTTGCCTAATGAAAGTATAGTTCAACAGAAGTTCACTATTTCTGCCTTTGAAAAGGTCCCATTTTATCAGTAAGATAAAAAAGCTATTATTATGTCAGCAGAACATATTGTCTGGCTATATAGCCTACTAAAATGTTATGAGTGTTTGCAAAAGATTTTTACCTGATGAAATTTATATGCTTCGTTATTATTATTATGGTTATACAAAGAATGTTTTAGAAATCACGAAATTGCTGCAGCCGTTTAATTTCTCTTTCATGTTATACTGCAAAAACTCTTCTTCAAAATGAATAACGTAGCTATAATATAACTCTACGATTTTCATCAATTCAAAATTATGTTGAAGAAATAAAAGAATTTACCTTGAAAGACCATCCATCAATTGGATGAGCTTCTTCAATATATACAACGACAAAAGTATGGATATGTTTAAGGAGCCAGTATTGAAAGACATATAATTGTATTACGTATTGTATACAAAAATGAATCAGAAATAAGTTTCAAAAGTCTTGAGCTAGAACACCAAATTCTTTGAGTTTATTCATAAACACTGGGCAACTACAACTGCCAAAGTACACGACTAATGCTCTCTCAGCTTGAAGTAAATCAAGTAAACGCACACATTTCTTTCCATCGGGTGTTACCAAGGGAACATTTTGTGCCTCCAGTCCGTTTCGCATTTCCTTTGTAATATCGACAACTCTTGATTTCCAAACTGACTTAAACATTTCCCATCCAAGAAATGTTTCCCAGTAGTTGGTTTTAGGGATATTTAATCCCGTCACTTTTCTCATACCATTCTCGAGCACAAACCCTAAACCTTATGTGAACTTGTAAAAGCAATTTGATCTACCGTTACTAGCTTGACCATTGTTCTGCAAGGTCTAAATTTTAGGCCCCCTTTACAGAGCTTACAAGCTTTTTACTTCTGCTATCTGTATATTTAGTTTATAAAATTTTACATCTGTAAGGTTTGTAAATTTTAGCTTGAGCTTATTTGCCTTCATTACAGGAAAAAATGACCGAAGAAACGAATGATTGCTATGGTTAAGGCGTGACATATAAACAACGTAGGTTTCTCACCTGGAATATAATAAAATATGCTACAAATAGCAAAAATGACTGTTACTTCAACCGTAACCCAACATTTAAATGCGATCCTGTACATGCTTTCACCTTTCATGTCTGTCTTGCTTGAAGTCTATGTGACTGGGAAGATTTCGATTCATTCATTTAGTGTATTTGAAAGTTCTTAATTTGCATTTTCATTCTTTTACGGTATAAGAATTTTATTCTTTTACTGTATAAAATCAAGGGAAAATATTTCCTGTTCTCTGTTTTCATGGGACATTTCAAATTTCAGGAATAACTGAATACCCATGAATAACGGACCATAAACCAGAAATTTTCTCTCACAAAAAATTTCCATGCCTAATCCTTGAAAGAAAAGTAAAATGTATGCGAGACATGTTTTGAAAATTTCGTGCAAAGAAATCATGTCATAGCAAAAAAACATGTAATAAACTTTAATATTCAATGCAATGACGTAGATACGATAGTGTTAATCACGCTCGTAAAATGACCACTATTGTGTTTGATAGTTTCATCCGTGCCAGCAAATGTTTGTAACGATGGAAAACATCAAGGAAGAAAATTCAGTACGTTCTTTACTCTATATAGGCATAGACGTTTTAAAGCATTTTTATATTCAATGAATGCAATCGAACTTACCGTAAAAGGACACCCTTGAGACCAAGACTTGGTGTTCTTTTGTCGGAGGTGTCAGCTTATGAGATGTTTGTTACTTTTTACATAATTATAAAATTTTTTTTAAATATGACTGTTTTTACAATGTTTTGAAATATGATTATATGCTTGATAACGACTGAAAAGTCCAACATCTGTACAGTGAAACGTTTGAGTCCATAGACGTTATCATATAACAAATTCATCATGTATATTGTCATTGTACAGACACAATGCTTAAAGTTCACATGACATGAAAAAATTTTCTTTGAGGAACATAAATGCGCAAACCTGGAGAAGAAACTATAGTGGTTCATGAAGAAAAATGAAGGAGACGAAGGAATTTACATGCATTACAAAACAACATCTATTTATATACCATAATATGTCAATTAGTTGGGATAATTACTAATTTGACTGAAAATAGATCAAGTGCAACCGCTTACAACAGTTTATAATGTTGTTTGTGAAAGTTGTTTTGGTATTCACCTCCGCTAAGGAAAGGTCGTAAATGTGTCTTCACATACAAGAGGTCTTGGCTTTTGAGAAGTGTCTAAGTTTCTTGACTGTATACGATTTTTTTCATACTGTATCAACCCTAAATATGGTTTTCAATTATTATTTGGTATATTTATGAATATATAAAAAATTTTTATTCAAGTTGTGTGTTTCTTAGTCAAATGATTTTCGACAGATGGGAGTAGAACTATTACATTAAAAATCAGCCGGTATAAAGACGGTGGAGGTAGTAGGAGAATAGAAGTAAAACATTAGTGATCGAACAGTATAAAGCTAGGACCATAGAGGTAAGAGAATACGAGTAAAACATTAGTGATCGAACAGTATAAAGCTAGGACCATGGACGTTAGGCTCATCTTTGCTCTCATTTCCCTCAGTTTTACGATTATCGTAAATTTTTCAAACTAATAGTTCATTTTCATTCAGTTAAATTCACTTTATATCCTCGATAAAAAGCAACTTTTAAATTTATGTATAGTGATTATGAATATTTTAATTAGGGATTGTGCTTAACTCTCAATTAGAATAATATCAATAGGTAAATTGAAGACTTGTTAATAGTATTTTGTCTTTTTAAAATTAAATCCATATGTACGCCAAACGTACCTTTTTTCTTAATCTGCCCGTACTCGCACGGTCAGCGGCTAATCACTACGTAAAATGTGGTTGTATCTAACATCTTTTAGTAACATCGGGCATCGCATAATAAGGCCTGTTTCAAGCGTTGAATTTTGCGTTTTCTCGAATACAATTTGGCGCTCGCTTTTTGCTCACAACAAAGTCTGGAACACGATAAAGGAAAGGCGTCGATAACAGTTTGTGTAAAATGGTCACTTGGTCAATTCCTGCGTTTATTGCCAGAAATATTGTACTTTGTTGACATCTAGCTTTTTCAACTTGAGTAGTGTATCATGCTCTTAAAACAGAACATTCAGACAATTTTACAGGTTCATTTGTCTGCATCGATTTAACATGAACTATTTGCTAATCAGTTCAGTAAATTCCAATCAATAAATTGTGAATACAAGGAAACTGATTTTTCATACGAAATTGGTCGTACAGCTGTCGTAAAAATGCAATGGATAAAAGTCATATTAGAAAGTGCAGTTTAAATAAAGATTGCCTTTAAAGTACTTGCACTGACTTTTCCTTTGCATGCATATTTAATCAGTTTGTATCAGTTTCCTTTTCTTTCGATGAAACAACAGCAACACACACCTCTCAATAACGTCCATAGATTGCTTTGTGATGTTTTCTTCTGACGATGTAATTGTTGGGTTCAATAGTCCGTTGAGGATGAATTAATTTCCAGACATGCAATGCAGTTTTCTTTTGTCGCACCCTCCAAAATAAGACACTGTGTCACACTCAGTTAATGGATGGAATAATAGCGGGCTTAAAGATTGTTTAAAGCTAGGAAAGCTTGCTATGTCTTACACTGGGACATTTTTAAATTTTCTTTTCCGAGCCATAAATTATTCATAGTTTTTAAAATCGATAACATTCTCCAGTGAATCTATATTGAATACAAGATAAGATATTCCGTAGAATATCAACTTTATTTG